TATATAACAGTTGCACCAAACAAAAAATTAGATGGAATAGATTAAAATTTGTAGTTTTCATCTTCAACTACTCAAAAAATGTATAATGATCGATCATAAACAATTATAACGGGTTATATTGACATAAAAAAGTATTACAATAATAAACTCTTCTTAATGGATTGTGATCGATTATTTTGTAATTTTATGTAAACTAACAGCAAAACGACAATATAATCAGTTTCAATAAGTAGGCGCTGCTGTGGGTAGCATATCAATGATTAGCCAATTTCTACTCTGAAAGTAATCATCAAATTACATGAAATTAGCAGTACAAAATAATGGTTGGAAAAAGGAAAATTAAAAAAGACAATTTTTTAGTTTAGTAGATTCCACAACTGCCCCAAAAAATGTCTTTTAATAGATTGCAAGCCAAGTCTAGTTTTTTACTTCTCTAAACGTCCAAAATTTTTAATTTCCTTTCAAATTTTTTTTTCCTAAAGTATAAAAATTTTAAAAAATTATGAACAAATTTCATTTTAACTCAAAAAAATTATCTATACAAATTAAATGAAAATTTTAATTAAACAACGGTTTGAAACTTTGGAAAAAAGTTCCAGGAAATTCAGTGAGATTCACTGAATCACAAAGGAAGAAAAAAAGTGTAATTGCGAAAAAAAAAAGAAATCATTAAATTCACTTAACATATTTCACTGATGAGATGAAGACAACAGTAAATGGTATCTAGGATGTTCCTCTCGCTTTCATGGACTTCATTTCAGCAGGTTCAAGAAACAATGGGAAAAAACGAAACTGGAAATATATCATGATATCTATATTATTTGAAAAATTGTATCCGGAGAACTCAACCGTAAAAAATTTTCCCTAGCTGCATGTTCATTACTTTTTTTTTATAAGAAAAACATAAAAAACGAATTTGCTTTTAAACTGAACCTCGCGGAAGTCATAATGGCTGCAACAACTCTTCAATGAAATATTGAAATTTTAGATCTAAAAGTTGTTTTACTGGAGTTTTGTTTTTGAAGTTTTGATTAATTGTCTAAATTAAATTTACATTTTATCCTGGGTTTGTAACAAATGTCTGCTGGAGTGGAGCATATGAGTACAACATTATTTTTTGTCGAGCTGGAAAAATTGAAAAGAAACTGAACTCTCAGGTGATTTGTTTTAATTTGCATTGAAAATTTCACATGTAAGAGTCCGGATACAGGTTTTCTTCATTTCCAAAACATTCAAAACTCCAGCAACTGTACGCATTTCATGTTTAAGCAGCTCAATTTCAGCCCACAAACACCTCGAACAAACTTCAATTGGAAGAAAATTTTTTAAATATCCAAAAACGCATCAATTTTTCTTGATGAACTGAAAAGATTTCTGTCGAAACTGAATAGATTTCTGAAAAGTTTCAGAAATTAACAGCTAGTCAAACTGAACAAAAAATTGAAAGAACATACGTTGACAATTTCCGACTGTTCTAAAAGCATCAACCTTTTTTTGATGGTTAAAAACAAAAAAACTGTAATACGCCGCGTTCATGCTGATTTTATCAAACATCAAACTTGTGCTTGAATACTTACTTTTGAACAAGTATGTCAATGAGCAACTCAATCAACATATCTATTAATATGGAAATACATAAAATCTCTTTAACACTCATAACCATCGCATTATCTCAGGAACTCTCAAGTTCAGGGCTTAAAAAATTGATAATTGCAAGACCAAAATGCCTGCGTGGATATTGTAAAAAAGGACATCACGAAGAAAAAACCGTCGATTGGTTGGAAAACGTCTTAAGAACTCAGATTCGTTGACGTCAGAAAAGATAAAGACGCAAACAAAATGATGCCGAACCATTATTATTTGAAAAACAACTTTAAAAATCAAAATGCAAACATTGTTTCGCGCTTTGTGTGGTTGTGTAATGAACTGGCATCAAAAATTTAACGAAATTTCTTTTTAATCGTTGGTTATCTAAACAAAAATGTCAGATGAAATAATTCTTAAATGTTTACAAGGGATCATTGAAAAATCATCTTTCGCCGCGGAGAGGAACACCTGATTTTTACAATTTTTGGTTTGTTGTTTTTTTTCCAAAAATGAGAGGAAGACTTGTTACAAAAACGGCTCCAACTGAAGTGTCCAAAAAGAGCGTTCTGCGTTTTTTTTATGGGCATGGCAATCGTTGAAAAAAAATTGCAAAATAACTCATGTATGATTTTAGTTACGCTAAAAAAAGCAAGACTGCTCGTATATGAGGGCGAAGCCCTGAGTGTTTCAACTGCAGCTTAAACTCAAATGATATATTTCTCTCAACTGATTTTTTTTTGCATTTTATCACCCCACACGCTATGTAAGGTGTGTTTAGCGTCTCTTATTGTTTCATAGAACTAAATTGCCGGCCTCAATTCAATTTGGAACGCATTTATTTGCCGTTTACGAGTGTTTCAAGAACTCTGGTTTTGATCGCGCGTTAATCAACCCAAATTGGTCAAATTAACAATTTTCAAACTTCCGCAAAAATGATCACAGATTAAAACATCTTTTGAATTTCGAGCTCAGGAAAACAATAGTTTTTATATGAAACAAAAACGCTTAGTTAAATAGTCAAAAATTGACTGATTTAAAAACCACATCGAGCAAAAATATTCCGCATCTTCTTCGAAAATTGGAACAGCTAGATTTGGAACTGCTATTCAGTGTTACATCTACTGTTAATAATCTTTTCACAAAAATAGGGTCTTCTTGACGTTTTTGGAGAGCTTCAAAGTCGTCAATTGGTCGATTTAAAAAACAAGGTCGGCTAAATTATCGAAAACTTGCTGAAAATATACTAAATTCCCCGGGTTGACCTGAGCTCCTCACGCCGGAATTGCTCATCATACAATTTCATACATCAAGTGTGTGGAAAAATGCTTGTCATACAATTTTCATAAAATTTTGAAAATCGGTTGAAAAAAGATATAAATTAATTTCTGCCGCTGTTTGATTCTAGTGAAACAGTCTGGTGATAAAAAACGGAGGTTTTTTTTGAAAAAATAGTTTATCATACCGAGGTTTTTGTTTTTTTGAAGAATTGCTTATATTGAAACTGCATGAATGCTTTTGTTCGATTGAGACACAAAAAATTTTCCGAATAATTTTGAAATGGCCGCAAACATTTTTGTTGTTTTTTTTTCAACCGCAAATTTAGTTTTGTAGGCAAACAAACATTTTCTAAATTTTTTTTTGTGTACATGACGTAGTCCTGGATACACTATTGTTGGATTTTCTTCTTTTTTTGCTTGATAAATTTTTTCAAAAACATTGAAAACTCCTTTTTTGTATGCCTTAATAAATTTCTGATAATTTAAAAATTCAAATTTTTGGAATAATCATTGATGAAAAATTTTGCCAAAAACTTGCCTAAAGTTTTTCGCTTTCGTTATATCATTGTGAAAGACAGCTCTAAGACCATTCAGGTCGTTTTCTATGCATTGTAAATGTAAGACCGTCCAACCTTTGGTGCTTTGAGTAAACCAAGGTCTTTGTCACTTGCGTTCGGTTACAAACACAACCCAAAATTTTTCAGAAATGAAATTTAGAAGCAAAAAATCACTTTTTGGTTCATGGAAAAACACTTATCATACATACTTCATAAATGGAAAAATGCTTATCATAGAGATTTCATACAATTTGCTGTATGTATGGAATTATATGAAATTGTATGACAAGAAGTTTCTCATATGTGGAAATTGTATGATAAGAAATTTTGGTCAACCCGGGCCAGGTTGTAAGAGAGCACAAAAATGGTAAAAATGGTAAACTTTTAACTGAATAGCTGAGTTTTGTTTCAACCAAAGGTTACTTTCAACTCCAAGAACTGAAGAAAAAAATCTAGTTGTTTCTTGCAACAAAATTTGTGTAACCAATATCTTGATAGATTTTGCGTTTTCTATTTGAAAAAAAGCTAATCAGCAATCACTAAGACTAACGCAGTTGATCTCATTGTCAACGCGTTAACGAACGTTTCGAAAATGTCATCGAAATTTTTCTTACAGACTTCACGAAAATGTTTGTCGATATTCATGACAGAATCGATTTTTCTTAATTCTAACTGTACGGATTACGTGTTAGAGTATCTTTTCACCTTTTATTTACTAATCTCGACAATTCTAGGCTGTGATTTAGATATTTAATTCGAATTCGTTTTAAAATTGGTTTTGCTAAATATAATTAACCTAATTCTTTTTCTTATGAATGCTTCACTTTTTGTTACAAATTAATTTCCGATGAGAACAAAACAAACTTCTACTCTCCCGCAATTTATATTCCCTTACCCCACATACATACATAGCCGACCAACTTGATTAAGTCGTATTAGGCGCCAAAATACACTATTTTTTTGGGGGGGGGGGATACGCGATACGCGCGCGCCGAAAAACTGCAATTTTTTATTAACATTTTTCAAAAATCATTCAAAACGGCATTTTAATATAAATTTCACTTATGGCGCAAAAAATTTGAACTGATTGGCCTGAAAAATCAAACTCGACAATCTCCCTCTGTTTTTTTTAACAATTAACAAAAAAAAAAATTGACAATCCCTCTCTGCTATTCAACAATGAACCCCCTTCCTTTTCTCGGTAAATTTTACACACGCCAGTTTTACGCACCAATTTTTTGTTGCGATGAAAAAGCGATCAACGGGTGGGCTTCTATTGATCAGTAAGTTTGATTGAAATCAGCGACTTCCACAAATCGAATTAGACAACTTAATGAAATTCACCCCCGAGAGGCGAAAGCTCTTCTGTCGATTCTGCTTTAATTAGATAAAAACACAGGACAAAAGACTAACCAAATATAGAAAACATAATAAGTTAACCCACTCCAATATTTTCTTTTCATTTTATAATTTGTTCACCGACAAAAAAAAACATTCATTTCTGTATTTAATGTGTTGGTAAGGAAACTATTTCATCAATTTTCTGTTTTTGATTGTTACTCTCCTATTTTTGTTTCGTTTGAAAACAGCCGCCAATTCAGACAAACGCCGTGAAGAACGGATGAATATTCTGATAATTGACCTGAAGCTTAGTTAAAATAAGTGAACACATTTTTAACAACGCTAATGTGCTCTTGGAATCCTAGCCAATTATTTATATGGAAATTTTCTGACCGTATCTTCGTCGAAAGAAGTTAAAATTCCCTCTGCGCTTAGATTTCACTCTCTTTTCCTCTTTCATTGAGATATTTTTTCCTTTTCCCTGAAGACCATTTATCTCAATCCTTTCAATTTTTTCGGACCTCTGAAAAATGAGAAACGTTGTCTGCAGCGTAAGTACTTTTGTAACTTGAGGGTGTTTTCATACCTGCTTATGGTTATTACATAATAAGGCAAGGTCTTTTCATGCGATTTCGGTCAATAGGTCGAAGTCGATGTCTCAAAAAAAAACAAGAATAAAATGAATGAGGAATTGAACAATTTAGTCACAAATGTGACATCTTATTTGGAAAAGTCATAAAAAGTACAGGAGTTTTGATAAACAAAAATTTTGCATTAAATTTTTATTCTTTGTGTTTAGTTTGTACGCAACCTTATTTTTTCTCTGTAAATTGTAATTCGATCTATTGAGCCAAATCACCTAGCCTAAAAAGTGATGAATCATTGAAATTACCTGAGCTGCATCCGCTTTGCGACATAAAATTGAGAAGCAGTGTCTTAATAAGTTATCTCTAATCACATTTTACCCAATATTTCCTGGTTTTCTCTACCCTACACTGCTGCCGCCGTCACTGCTGTAACCATGTAAAATATAGTTTTCATTTATATGTGCTGTTTGTTAGAATTGATATTACCCTATGCTACTTTACTTAACCAGGGATCACAAACAGACACAGCAAATACAAGTTATCGATTTTTTTCTCAACTCTTTCTGCTTGCTTGTGATTGAAGAAAAAACTATATTACTTACCCGCCAGATTGTGAATTTTCAAAAAACTGTTTCAATCCCTTCTTAGTTTACACGGCAATTCAAATTAAGCCTAATTACTGCAAAATATTTGATCGATGAGGAGTGAGCTGATTTTTAGAATTGGTAAGATTGATAAACCTTTTTTTTACCATCAAGTTTGTTTCAATCTTTTCTAATTTTTTTGTTTCGCAAATCAAAAATCCAAGGAACCCAATAATTCCAATCATTATATTGCCAATAATTTAACTAAATTTGAAAAATTATTACTCAGAAACTCAATGATCGTATTTAAATTTTTTCTTATAAACATATGCACAAATTAATAACTTTATGCACAAATTAATATTAATTTTTTTTGCCTAAAACCATCAGAATGCGTTCAGAGAATTTTTATCGGTATCAATTCGTGCCTTTCCTGTAAAAATTGTCTCAGTTTTGTGTGCTTCATGTTTAGTAATAAAATGACCTTGATGCAAATAAACGGGAAAGACGATTCCATTTTTAAATTCAATTTCAGACCTTCTTTTGCTAAACTATCTTTCACCCCTATGTTACAACTTTCAGAGAGAGTGACTGATTATTTGTGATCAGTGTGATTTTATTCCTCTAGTCAGTTATGACTGGACATGTTGATATTGTTTGACAGATAATGATGTCCAGAGCTCAAATAAAAACATGCACAGCCGTTTACTGTGCAATAAGTTGCACAGATTTTTCCGACCATACTCTTAAGAAAAACAGCGAAAAAATTTTCAAATTAGTGTCGTTACTTTCGGCGTGGCGTGAGAAAAGGAGCTGAATGAAGAACTAATGACTAGGCAAGCATGCTAAAGGAATCGTTTTGAATTTTTTATGGAGTGTTGGTGGGGTATTTAAAAAAAAACTCAAAGACTCTTATAAAAAAAATTTTTTTTGAAATTTTTATCAATTTTTTTTTTAAAAATCATACGCAGTCGGTTTATCCAAGGTTTCGTCCTAAATTGGGCAAACTTGTTTGTTTTCCTCTTGAATTTCATAAAATTTTGGTGAAAAACATTTGTGATCGTTTTTTTCTTACCTAATTCAAAATTCTAAATTAAAAAATTACATTAAAAGGCTCAATCTTGAACATAATTTTGTTCAGAAAATCTTACCTAGAAATTCCTTGTTGACACTGTTCAAACATTTTTTGTAGGAATGTATTATTTCAAAAGATATACACTCTATCTAGTTATTAAATATTTTTTGAATTGAAATTTTTTTGATAAAAAAAACTTATCTTCACACAAAACTATCCAAAGACACATTAATTTTTCACTTGTCATTACGGATTCCTCAACTAGAACATTTTTTTGTTCATTTTTGATCTTTCCCAGTACCCAACAAGAGCTTCTGTTCTGAATAGAATTTTCAAAAATATAAATTAACCTGTTTATCTGCGTTTTCTGTACAAAAATATTTATTTCTCGTCTAACATTAGATACATACAATTTCAAAAAACAGAAATCAGTACACTTCACAACTGCAACAAGATAAACGTGCTTCAGATATACACAAAAAATGTAGAAATACAATGCAATTTCACACTGTTTAAACGTGTATTGCTTCGCATTACATTGCTAAACTATTCGAATTTTTCAGGTCATGTAGCATAGTGGATAGCACAACTGTTTAAGCAATAGTAGGTCGGGGTTTTGCAGCAGCTAGTAGATACTTTTAAACCTAATACTAGCCTAATTTCAGCTATTTTGTGATAAAAAATAAGATGAGAAATAATAAATTTTAAGAAAATCCCTGCTTTATGTACACAATTCAAAAAAAATTTCTGGCTAGATATTTAAATTAGGAGTTCAGTATTTCTCGAGAGAAGTAATTTTTTTTGGTACGGGTCTTTCTTTGATCTTTCCGACTAAATTTTACACGTTTAAAGTCTTGTCTCTGGAGTCCAGAGACCTACACACCACACCAACTGTGCGCCTATCCAGTGCACAGTTTGGCTTCGCAAGGGTTTTTTTTAACCTTTAGCCTTCCAATAACCAGATTTTCAGCAAAACGACTAAACTTGGTCTTGAATTGTTCATCTATAGGGCTATTACAAGTGATGTAACATAATTTTGTCCGACCTCTTAACCTTAAAAATTTTGATGAACGCTTGTTGAAAATTTATTGAAAATTATGTCATGAGTTGTCTGATGCTTTTGTCTCGAGACTTATTTCGCATTAAAAAACATCTTATTGAAATGAAAATTGTGAATGAAGCTCCTTTCAATTATGATTTTATCTTCCAAATTAATTGTTTGCAATTTTTGAGAAAAATACATCGTTCAAGATGTAATTCAATATCAATTGAAGATATTAAAGTGAAATTGAGTTGTTTGATTTTCAATTAATCTTGAGTCAATCGTTGAAAGAATTGCAAGAAGATTATTTAAAATTTGTAGATTCAGTAGTATATTCCGTAAACCTTAGTCGAAGTGAATCTGATTGCAGTAGACAATTGACAACAATTTTTTGAAATTAGTGCCCCAATTGACAACAATTTTTGAAAAAAAAAATCTAGCTGGGAGAGTTTTTTCATGCGAGTGCTAGTGGAACACAAAAATCCTATAGCGAATTGATTTAACAGATTTTTAATTGTTGTTTTTTAAATGGAAAAAATAGTTCATAATTTTTCCATCATTTTTAAAAAAAATTTTGCATAAAATTTTGGCTTCTAAGACTACTAATTTTCCTCTACCCTATTGTCGTAATTGGTCAAAAGTTTGACAGTAAACTTGATTTTGTAACAACTTATCGTTCCTCAGTATGTTGATCAACTGAAAATATATAGTCTAATACAACGTGCTCTTGGCCTTTTACCTGCCTAACAACTTAAAAAAGGAACTATTTAACTAGTTTCGTGAAAATTGTGATTGATAATCTGCCACACTAATGGCAGTTCATAATCAGTTTCCACATCATGTCTTTCATAATTTGTTTTTTTTTCATAAGTTATTTTGTCGGTAGTTATTAGCTGGAAAAATATTAAAATAAACATGATAATTGTAAATAATCAAAAATGATAAAATAATCGTAAAATAATCTTATCGAAAAAATATTATGTTAAAATAATCGTAAAAAGATCTTATCGAAAATCGTAAAATAATCTTATCGAAAACACTAATCTTAGCGTTTTCTCTAAATGTGCTTCGTTTCAGTTAGTGACCCGTCAAAATTATTTAAAATGCGTTTCATTAATAAAATAAAGCAATGGGCGCAAAATAGAAAAAAAAAATCAAAGTTTTTTGAAGCACGTGATGTGCACTTATTTTGACCACTTGTATTAAAAGCAAATATTTTCCAAAAATGAAGATTTGCTAAATTTTTTCTTGGCTAGTCTTTATTTCACTTTGTATTTTTTGAAACGCTGAGTTTGGATCAGAATATTTTTGTTTCTCAGTTTAAAATGCTGAAACCGACAGTGCAAAAGTATGTTTGTTTTGGTCAGTTTTTTATTTATGCTATCCGCGTCCAAAATGTGTATAATTTTGCGCAAACATTTAGATTCGACTCTTTATTTGCAACAAAAGATTTTCAGCAAAGCAATTCTCGATAATCACATTTGCCGAAAAAAAACTTGATAAAAACTAAGTAAATTAGTAAAAATGTTAGTCATAGATCAAAGAAGAAAAACTAACTCATATCTTCAGGAGGACTTAAAATCTTGAGTTGATGCGCTCACTCGGTTAGATTACTCATTTTAATGAAATTTACTACGTTAGCAAAATATCAGAAAGATTGATCTGTGATAGACTATTATAGTTATAGGCACTTACGAGATTCAGTCAAAAATACAAAACCGATGCTTCCCGCAACCTAGTTTTAAAAAAGGTAATCGATTAAACCAGATTAATATGTTGAGTTTTTGACGCTTATAATTGATTATAATTACAAAAATTAGGTGTTTAAAGGAGTTATACTTGAGTATCTAAGAGCGAGATGTCTTTTCACACTTTGGTTCCTGCGAACACAAAGATTTACCTCGAAACCCAAGTTTAAGAGAGATCCATTTGTTTTAGTTGAAAGGTTCTCGCGGTAGGTGAAAAACAAATCTTGGTGGTTAAAAAACTGATAATTTGGTGGTTATTTGGTGGTTAAAAAAACTTAAAACTTGCCTAGTCAAGCAAACCTAAGGGAAGAAAAAAAAAACGTTTGACGAAAAAAAAGAAAATTTGAAGTGATGTGAAAACTATTAAAACATTTTCTCATTTTTCACTCAAGTCAACGTCTACAAAAAGCATAAAATGTATAACATTCTGAGGCTCTGTGAAAACAAAATGGGTAAAAAAAAAGCAATTTTTGGTCAAACTTTTCCAAAAAGTGCCTGAAAATGCCTTATTTTTA